ATTGTTGTCTACAAATTTTGGCTAGCAGACAGCTCTAACCACACTCTCTCCTTGCCGCATCTCTTAGGTTACAACTAGAAGCAACATCTATAGAACACTATATGCTTGAACGATTCAGTATAAAAACTGTACGATACGACGTAATTCGTATGATAAGGAAAGTGTTAGGCATGAAACTACGAAGTAAGTTACTGCCAAACAGTAAGTAAACGGCCGGTTTCCTGTTCTTTCTATCATTAGTATATATATGTGAGGGTTGCGATGGGCCCCCCATTGGGTCCCATTTTGGCTGATTTCTTTCTAAGTAAACTAGATAATGGACCTTCCAACAATCTTATTAAAAAAAATTATCTTTTTATTCCCGGTATATGAATGATACCTTTATTCTTTGTGATAATGATTCGGGTAGGAACACAATAATAACTCAATTCAATGAAGTACATTCTCCACAATCAAATTCACGTGCAAAGAGGAATCCCAAAGCAGGATTAATTGCCCTCCTAGATATCCTTCTCACAAGAAAACCAAATGGTAGTATAAACAGAAATTTGCTTGGGAAAAATACATGGACACGACAATATACACATTTCCATAGCTTTGTTCCTCTCCAGTACAAAAGAAATTTAATTACGACCCTCACTTACAGGTTCAGAGCTATATGTTCAGAAGATGAACTAAGGATTGTATATGACACCTTAATTGAAAATAGCTATCCAGAAAAGTTCATCAGGAAACACATGACCAAGAAAGTAGAAAAGGACTATTCTCTATCTGTAAATAAGAAGCCTTTATATATACGACTGCAATTCAAGGGTGACGCACCTAGTGAAATAATTACTAACAAATTAAGAAAATCTATTCAAAGAACTTTTAATGCGGGCGAACTACACGTCTTATTCTCTACACAACCGATTATGATTCCTCGATTGAAAGACGAAGTACCTAAACTAGACTAGCAGCTTCAAAACTGTATCTACCAATTCAACTGCGCTTGTGGTGGAGCGAGTTATATTTTGGTCATTGTTCTAGGAACTTGATTTTTCTTGCTCACTAGGGAACACCTACCAGTATGGCTAAGTAAAGGTGTAGTAAAAACGATCATCAACAGTTCGATATTAGACCACCTGGTCCAAACTGGCCACAAAGCCAGCTAGCATTAAAGAATCCTACTCCATCATCATCTACTGGGTACCAAATAAATTATCAAAAAAACATCCAGGCACCTCATACTCCAAACAGCAGAGGATATCACGATTCGCCTTAAACAACTAGTGCCATGTGTGCAGAAGAAATAAGTCCAACCAGCCACTACTGCTGCCCTGGCTTTGGAGTGGAGACTATAAAATCCTTGAATTTGTATCATTATTTTTCCTTATGTTTTTGATTATATTCAGTGTTATGTTGACGCTATCGAACTGTAATCCATTGATATTACTATTATTATTGATTCGATGTTATTTCAACAATATTAATATTGGTTACAGGATTTCATCATGAGCTGACATTGGTCAGAGAACCATTGGAAAACCTGGGAGTAGTGGACAGCTGTTTCGTCCTAGCCTGGGACTCTTCATCAGTACGCACCCACCGGGATTCGAAACCAGGACCTTCTGGTTACAAGGCGAGCTCGTATACCATTAGGCCACTGGAACCCGATCCAATGGCCCATGAATTCTAACTTCTTCCAATTCACGACATAGCGCAACCCCTAGCCAATATCTTCGGGGGCGAGTATTTCTCCTCACACCCGACCTGCTGCACCCTACAGGTCCCAGTGGCTTAATGGTATACGAGCTTGCCTTGTAACCAGAACGTCCTGGATTCGAACCCCGGTGGGTGCGTACTGCTAAAGAGTCCCAAACTAGGAAGAAACAGCTGTCCAGTACTCCCAGGTTTTCCAATGGTTCTCTAACCGATGTCAGCTGATGATGAAATCCTGTAACCAATCAACCAAACCCCTACAAACCAATACTTGAATATTAATACTGTTTGTCAATAACGCTAATTCATTCATTCACTATTACGTATACATATATATATATAACTGTAGAACCTAATAAAGAAGAGCAGGTTATCGAAAGTGTAAATACTCTTTGTTCAATAACTAATCTGTTCATAAGTTTCAAATGGACACTTTTAATCTGTTACAAAATCCACTTTACCATTTACATTTTTTCAACACAAAACTTTGCACCTAAGTGCAGCACATCGAAATCCCACACCACAATTCATGTATATAGCAGCACACAATGATAGAGAATGGATATATGGAAAATTATAAAAGGAGTGAAAGTAACTGCGGCATAAGAGAACAATTTCAATCTATATGTCACCAAAAGTATTACTAGCAAAATGTTACAGTTAATAAAAGAGAAGCTCGGTGTATCACTTTGGTTTACTCTGGCTCCAAAAAGTTGCAGCCCCTGTAGATTTTATGGGTCATCAAAAATACACAAATCAGAAGTTGCATTACGTCCAGTAGTGGATTTTACTAATTCTCCAACATACAAACTCTCTAAATACATTTATCGAATTCTTAGTCCATATGAAATGAAAGTGGAGCATGGAGTGAAGAATTCGTATGAATTTAAGAGGAAAATAAACTTGACTAATATTGAAGAAGATGAAATAATGGCAAGTTTCGATGTTTATTCATTATTCACGAATGTTCCCGTTAATGATTCTTTAAGTATTATTTATAATTTACTTTGTGCTGACGACGAACTCAGTGGTCGTTGTCCTTTAAATCCCGACGAAATTATGCAGTTATCAGAATTGTGTCTTCGATCCACGTTATTTACGTTTAGAGGAGTTCTTTATCGTCAAGCAGGAGGCATTGCTATGGGATCACCAGTATCGCCGCTACTCGCCAATCTGTTTATGCACTCATTAGAAACAAATGCAATTATGAGATGCCCTAGTCCCCCAAAGATGTGGTTAAGATACGTAGATGATACCTTCATCATAATCAAACGTAGTTTGTTAAATGAACTTTTTCACTTAATAAACAATATGTCAGAAACCATCAAGTTTTCCAAAGAGGTAGAATCCGATGAGAATGAGTTGGTGTTCCTGGACTGTTTACTAAAAAGAAAATTAGATGGAAAATTTAAAATAAACATTTTCAGAAAGTCGACAAATTCGGATAGATACCTACATTACTATTCAGGTCACCCATTTACCACCAAAGTAACTGTGGTCAAGAATCTGATCAACAGAGCTAAACGTCTAGTTACTGAGGTGGAAGATATTAGCAAGGAACTAAAATTGGTTCAGTCCACTCTTGAATCAAATAATTATCCTAAAACCTTCATAAAAAGATATTTAAAATGTGAAGATAAGGATGGATCAAAACCTGATGCTAAGAATTGGGTTAGTACAGCGGTGATTCCTTACCGCAAAGAAACATCCGACGAAATAAAGCGAATCCTTAACGACCATAACATAAGAGTGTATTTTCGTGCATCAAACACCTTACGCTCATTACTGGTGAAGGTTAAGGATAAAATAGAACAAGAAAACCAGCAGAATTGTGTATACCAGATCAATTGTGGGGATTGTAACGCCGTATATGTAGGAGAAACTTCCAGACAGGTAAATATAAGACTGAAATAGCATAAACAATGTCTAAAGGTGGTTGTTCTAAAGACCTCTGCAGACTTGAAGAAGCTAGAAAACAACTCAGCGATTGCACTGCATTCGATAGAAACGGGACACAAAATCGACTTTGATAAGACTAAGGTTTTACAGAAAGGTTTTGGTTCATATAAAGAAAGACTGACTGCAGAAGCCCTACATATATGGGTGAATCCCAACAGTTTGAACAGATGTGAAGGTGTGATCTTAGCTGATGCATGGCAAATCCTGACTAATAAATAAATTGGATATGTATCAACAACTAGTCACACTTGGTCAAATTCCCGATTGTCTACGTCTTCTTATGGAGAGAATAACAAATTTATAAAATTATATTATATTTGTAAAAAATCTCAATTATTTTGCAACTATCCGGTCAAATCTTGATCACAGTTCATATGAAGTATTGCTAGTCATTGAGATTCTTAATTTCTTGAAGACAGACCCCTCCTAGCCAGACAGTTTATTATATCTGGCTATCTACACACCTGTGGCTTAAATAAGCAGTCAAAAACTCTTGAATGGACTGATGATGAAGCGCCATGTTTTGCTCTGACCAACCATATCTATAACTCTTCTTTTTAACCTAATCCTATTATCAGCTAACATGGCTGGTAGACAAAGGCGATGGTTTCGCATACACAACACGTGCCCTCTAACCATCTCACAATCGGTTCACCGCCTTATCTATCCAACACACTACGCGTAACCTCGCTGTGACTCATTATATAAAATACCATTTAACTCAGGAGATAGAACGCAGAGGAGACCGTCGAATAACATCCCACGGTGCCCCAGTTAGGCCATTGCTTAAGGGTAATCCGAATGGGTAGCGACGACGACGAGTTGGGCGTATATCCGAGTATGAAATGGAGGCGGACGATGACGAGGGCAATCCGTGTGCAGTTGGCTAATGAAGACGACTGTAAAGAAATGCGGATTTCATGTTGGCGCCTCAAATGTTTCGCTCGGAACCCAAGAGACCAATAATAATAATGATAATCCCCCCTGCAACTGAGCTGAGATTCGATAAAAAACAGAACACGAGTTGTTGCTGTTGTTTTTAAAAAAAATCCTGTATTTTATAGATTATTTATATATTGGAAGAAAAAGAAGATGGGAAGGGAAAAGTAAACAACAAGAAATCAACAATGCAGCACAGCATAGCATACAGGTTTATTTTCCAAGTTATACACAAGCATACCTATGAAGAATGATTGTAAAGTTGAACGATAAATAATAATACTAATAATAATAAACAGTGATAATAGAACAAAAACAGGATCACGTTTATTTGTTGTTGTTGTTTTTTTCTTCTTTACCTATAACAACAACCATCCCCACACACACACACATTGATTGTTCTAACGAAGACTAACACTAAAGTCTACAGGTCTTCTTGACTGTACACTACCTGATGAACTGATATTGAATAGAGCTTTACGCACAACATCTGCATCAACTTCCATTGGAACACTTGATCCTGTGGCTGTTGCTCCTGCGACTGCTGCTGCTGCTGACGACGATGATGATCGGTTGACTGAATTTCGTATAACTTGTTTCGCTTGACTTTCATTTTGTTTTCTGAAATGAAGGAGAAAATAGAAACATGGATATAAGTTAGAGGGGTGAATTATTGACTAACTGTGCGTCGGTTAGGACGCTCGCCGACCATGCACATGGTCCGGGGTTCGAACCCCGGCTGACGCACTCCTCCTTTACCTCGCTAAGCCAGAAATAATGCTAGTGAAGAGGAAAGGTCGGGCATGAGGCTAACACCCCCATCGTGTAAAATAAAAACTGCTACAGAAACTTCAAGCTGGCTCTAGCTTGAAGCCCTATGTTCCACTGGGGAAAGTGAAGGATAAAAAAAAATTACTAACTGGTTTCAACATAGAACTTACTTTGCACAGATGTGCAGCAGCAGTTCGAGTTGCAACACTCCTCCTTCTATGTAGCACACAAAGCAAGAGTAAAGAGAGTCAAGACAGATTCAAAAGAGACATAATAAACAGAAGTGTGAGTGTGTGTGTGTGTGGGGGGGGGGGAAAGAACAGTAGTAATATGGAAGGACAATAGAAATTTAATGTAAATCACAAATCAATGCATCTGCGCCATCAACGAGGACGACTTTATAGTCATATCACCAATTGTCTCCAGCAACTGGTATTAGCTCTTACCATCCCGAAGACCCCAACCAGTTAGTCAGTCAGGAGGTCTACGCCTCCCTATATGTGGCTGCTGAATGGCCTAAACTAACTGTTGTCGATTTCATCACTCACTGATGAAACCATGTTTTGATTTGACCACCAATGGCTCTTTTCCAACCTGATCCAGCCTACATCAGGTGGTAACATTGCCCATCGGTTGAGGAAGGCAATGGCCAGGCGGTGACTCGGCATGCGTAACACATGTCCTAACCATCTCGATCGATGCAGCTGCTTAGAAACCCCACTTCATCGATCGATTTACTCTCCTTACCTAGCACACGATCGATGCCTCACCTCAATACTGCTCACCTTATTATACCACTTAACGAGGGAGGTAGAATGCAGACACCTATGATCAAAGACAGCTAGTCAGGCTCTTCATGTCTTCCACTTTCAATGGTCATGTCTCACAGCTGGCCACAAAGGAGGATAGAGCGAACCGATGAGCAGTATACACGTCCTTTCGTCAACAGCCAGCCAGATATCACGTCTACTAAGCCAGAGATGGAGTAAGTTGGCAGACAAACGCCAAACGAATCTTGTGTATTAGTGCTGCGATTTCGTCAGCGATCAACCGCTGGGGCTGATGCAACTCCCCAAACAAGAGAAGTGGTCAACACGCTCAACAACAACAACTTTACTCCCCTGTGTCTTCAAGCTAGAAGTCGATGTAGTCCAGTCCAGTCCTGTAGCATCACCTTACATTTGACAGCTGGAGTGAATCGCATGCCAAACATTCGAAAATTTTCTGCTCTTCAAGGTGTTCAGAAGACTCCGTAAAGAAAAACCAAGGTGTAGTTCTTGACAGCTATTCCACCCTACTTTGGGACTATTCAGCAGTACGCACCCACCAGGGATCCGAACCCAATCATTCACTGGAACCCGATCAAATCTATGCAAAGCAATACTTGGTCAAACATATATATATATTAGAAAAATATCAAGACTGATGTCGGTTAGGCAGGTAATCATTAAAAACCACCAGCTAGCAGTACTGGCCGGCAGTTTCATCCCACTTTGAGACTCTTCATCAGTGCTCATCAATACCTCCATCCACCAAGGTTCAATCCCAGGGCCCTCAGATTGTGACGAGGCTAAGCTCGTTCACTATCCACACACCTTGGTCAGAATTCAAAGATCTATGAGTTCTAACACTGGTCAATTCACGATCTTAACGCGACAGCCAGTCAGTATCATCGGCGAGTATTCGTCCTCACACTCAACAATCAGGTGGAGGCGCCCCACATACCAGTCACGACTTCCGACCAGAACTTCAGGCAATTTCCTCCTGTAGTCAGTCAGTTACCAGTAAGCATAAAAAACAATCTCAAGAGTTCGTTTTCGGGGAATTTGATTTGCTGCTTTAGGTTTGAGCATGGATTAATGTCAGTTAGACGACAACCGTTAGAAACCAGGAAGTTCTGAACAGGCTATTTCATCCTTGTTTAGGACTCGTCAGTACTACGTACCCATTACCATCCTGGAGCCTTCAGGCTGTAACGAGGCCAAACTCATTCAGCATTCGGCCACTGGGATTGGTATTCTTGATTCCCAACTTCTGTCAGTTTGACATATATAGCCTAGCTGATACTAAAAAGTCGTCACATTCAACTCTAGCGCTCTATCACAAATTTAAAAAGTTATAATTCACGGATCCTTGAATTAAGGTCTATATTTACTATTATTTATTTAAACACAAAAAACTCGGTACAATAAGGCACCAAGAAGATGCGCCGCACAATAATAGTAATAATAATTCCCGGCCGACAATTACTACCTTGTCGTGGCTGTTGTGCTTGAATACCGCGGCGACCCAACAAGCTAAACTGACTGGGACTTATGTTCCTATAATGTCACAAAGATTGTCTGGATAGTGGTTAGACTAAAAACAATTACTATGGCGATACATAGGCTCCAGAATCCAATCGAATCAAATGGTGCGTATGCATCTATATTCGTCACTGGCAACCATGGGAACGTAGTTTCTGAAGCTGTTCCGTTCGGCTGCCTTGCGGATTAGACTCCAAGTCAAAGGCTCGGGGCATCAGTCTGGATGCGCAGACAGTATGGCAGCCCTCATACAATCAATGGAATGAAACAGTGAACTGCCAACAAAACTATTCACATTTAGGTCCAAGTGACTGAATGGTCATCATCAATGAGCTTGGTCTCATCGCAACCTGAATATCCTAGGGTTCGACCCCCGGTGCGGTGTTGTGGGTGGTTCTCTCTAACTGATGTCATCAATATCCATGGTCGAACTTGGAACAAATCAAATCTCTGCTAATTAATATTAAAGAATTTATATACACATACACACACACGATCGACCGTAGTAGCTAGGTCAGGTGGAGGCGTTGATTGATCTCCTATGCATTGGGTAGTCTGATTGTGAAGCTTTTCATTATCACGTCTTTTAACAACTAGTTTATCCTCTTGAATTCGAGAAGAGAATATAACACAGGAGGTCAGTCAATTCACCCACCCACACAGGATGTATATAATCAACCACACCAGCAATAATATATAACAGTACAGCAAAAACATGCACGGCGCCAAGTCTCTGATCCGTATAGTAGCACTGACTTCACATTGGAGCTGAAAATCTGGATCTTATTTTTCACGCTAAGTAGTGCTGTTGATCTCCACACAGACTTGAGAGTAGTGAAAGCTTGCTTTGCTTTCCCTACCTTCGCTCCTTTGATATCCTCAGCAGTTCCGTCCGCCTGTAGTTGAGACGATGCTTCCCAGGTAGGTGGGTAGGTGAAGGTGGTTGCTTCTTTCAGATTTCTCCCATTTGTGCTGATTGTTGTCTGCTATATACCTTGATGCAATCACCCAAGGAGCTATGCTGGATGGAACAAGTGTTCCCCCACAATCGTCTGGATAGCGGTTACACTAAAAGCAGTTACTGTCATAGTGTCAGTCATCTAAACTATTTTGCGGCGGCGGCAGTGGCATGGAATTCTGTGGGTGAAGTCGAAGCGTTCAAGCGAATATAGATTTAACAGCCAGTTATGTTGCTTCTCCATTCTGAGTTCAGGGGATTCGAAAAGATTGACAATTCACCTTGAGGCGGCGAACAGTAGCCGGTTGTAAGACCTTAATATAGACACAACTCCACAAACCGGTTTTTTTCGGCTTCCATCGTTTTCAGTGCACACAGAGTGAAGAGGAAGTGAAGAGCCATTAAGTAGAGGAGTTGCACTGGTAGAAGGAAGGCAAGATAATAGAGATGAAGATGAAGACAAAGATGAGTGAGGATTAGAGAGGTTTCGCGTGCACTTCGGATTGTGAGGGCGATTGTTACTTCCCGGCTGCCAACACCGTGAAAGTTGGTTGCGTAACCACAGAGCCCCGAAACAACTGCTTGAGGCCGGTCACACACGGCCTGTTTTTGTTCATTGTTTTTAATTTGGTGTGTCTCAGTAGCACATTTATCACTTCTGCCCTGTGACACGGCAGCAGAAAGCGCGGTCGTTGTTAATCTGGGCCCCGACCGATCCGGCATGATATTTTGTGATTTGTTTGAAGTCATAGGATAGGTTTGGGTAACTGCTTTTTGTCTAACCGCTATCCAAACAACCTTTCTGGCATGGTAGGACCTACAGGAACATAAGTTCCAGGCAGTATAGCTTGTTGGGTCATTGCGGTGTTCAAGCCCGACCACCACGTCAAGGTAGCAGCCGTGTATGTTTGTGTGACTGGACTCGATGGTCACGAAACACTAATGTTCCATCTTCTGTTTCAGATACCCCCAAGAAGAAATTACCAACCTGTAATGTGTATGGGCAGCCAGGAAGAGTGATAACCGCCCATGCACACATACACACACACACACTCTCCCACACAAGCATACAGAGTTTTCTCGATCTTTACAGAAAAACAGTATTCCAGTAAAACCGTGGGGACACGGACACACACACGCAAACACACACTAACCTTCCATAATTAGGACCAAGTCTTGAAGCCATACGAAGACCACCAGCACCAGCACCAACACCAGCTGATGTATCATGCTCACTACTCACAGGTGTTGTCAGAGTGACACGCATTGGACGACCGTCTAACTCTCGCCCATTATACCGTTCAATAGCTTCAAGTGCATCTGATGAATGATTGTA